ATAAATGTGTTTAAGACAGCTGATTTGCCAGGGCGTCTGAGCCTATTCCCATGACCGATTCCTAAAGCTTAGAAACAAAAAAATCCCAACTCTCAAAGGTCCACTAGCATTCCCCCCAGATCACCCTTTAAATGTCCAGGCGTGAGATACCTTTTAGGCTTGTGCAAACTGATAGTCAAAGAGTTGTAATATACCTGGAGAAAGCTATTTAGTCTTCCCATTCATCACAATCTGTCAGTTTACACCTGCTATTAACATTCTCAGGTGATCTGATCACAAATGGTCAGCAGACAGACCTTGCTTTTGCCTTTAATTAAAATGCAACTCAAATAAGTCTCCTGTGACCACAGCATTCAGACTTAATCGCTTACTACATCAGTATGTATGTTTCAAAGCATGAAGAAAAAAATAAATCTTGCCACAAATAAATTGCTAATAGCATTGTATGCTCATACATAACACTATTATACCGACGTATACATACGAAGAGTTCAGATGCAAAAGCCTCTAAATGCCATTTGAAATTTTCTTCTTTAATGATGATTTTTATCAAACTTGTAAATTTAAGTTCAGTAATTTCACTTAAATAAAAATTAATAGGTAATTTCATTGCCACTTAAGTGAAATCACTGAACTTAAATATACAAGTTTGATAAAAATCATTAAAGAAGAAAATTTCAAATGGCATTTAGAGGCTTTTGCATCTGAACTCTTCATACTTACTTTAAATTATATTGGACTATCTAATCTTCTCAATCATTTTATTTATGTCTTTTTTCTAGTTAAAATCATTTACATAAGATAAATTTACTAAACAAACAAACAAATGATGACCTGTTTTTGCATTTACAACATATTTAAAAAAATAAACCTATTATGTCTTCTTAAAGGACAAGTTCGGCATTTTACAGCTAAAGCCCTGTAAAGCCCTGTGCACAGGAACAATCCTTTATAAAACGCATACAACTTTAGTTTACAAAGACGTGAAACTCAGTGTTCGAGTGTTCACTGATATCCTCACACAAAAATCACTGCAAAAGATGCTTTCCAACAGGTTTTATCGTAGTTTTTGTACAACTCCATTGACTTGTATTGTATGTTCTGTGATGTACGGTATTACTCCGCCGCCGGAAACGTAAATGGGGTTGTTTGTATTCTCTCTGTAGTCTTATGCAGTTGCAGTATCATTGGCTACACTATACAAGTGGTTTGCTTGCAATTGGCAAAGGTGCATTATCGCCACCAACTGGGCTGGAGTGTCTATTATTCAAGCTCTCAACGGAAGAATGTACGGTTGTGAGGCGTTCGAAAAAAAGTTTTACAACGAATGCTAAAACACCTGTTGGAAAGCATCTTTTGCAGCGATTTTTGTGTGAGCATATCAGTGAACACCCCAGACCACTCGGTGAGTTTCACCTCTTTGTAAACTAAAGTTTTATGTGTTTTATGAGGGATTGTTCCTGTGCACCTATGCATTGTAGAGGTGTGTGGGGGTGCAACCACAGAATCCGAAAATTCTCGGGGCAGCAGCATCTGTCTAAAAAAAACAATCTTAACCATTCGGTTTCATCAGAAACGATCTTAAAACAGGGCATTAATTGTAAAATAACGAACTTGTCCTTTAAAGGGTAACTAAACCCCTGGTCAGAGCCTGACTCCACCCACTGGCAATATTTGAAAATGCTGAAAAAGTGGGCTGACCCCAGCGGAGATAGAGGGGACGAAATAAGATGCTAAAACACTCTATCCTGATCGTTTTCAATACTCACAATTCCAATTCCTGACTCCCTACAGTGGTTTTGACGACACAAGATGGTTTTTATATTGCCAAGGGCGTAGCTTGCGTGGTGAGCTGAAACGTACGTCACGAAGTGTGGAACATCCAATAAGAAAATTCAACTGCAGTAGCCACCGTTCAACCTGAAGAGGGCAGCACTAAGACGTTTTTACACCATATATTGTAGAAATAGAACAATTTATAAACAAATGTCAAATAAGTTACTCGAATCAATGACTGGTATTAATAAAGATCCATTCTTACAGATCATTAACTAAAAAAAGTTGGTTAAGTGTTTAGTTACTCTTTAAAGTCGGCGTGAAACGGAAGTTGAGATTGTCATTTTTTCCTTGTCGTGACGTTTATCCGAGGGAAACGGCTCCTGAAATTGAAAAAAAATGTAGGGCAGGGCTTGATTTCGTCCTTCGAGAATTGATTGGATTGTTTGGAGGTTGGGCGTTGCAAACAAAATGGAGGCAGATTTGAATGCGATTCTCTGAGAGGCGGTTCACCGATAGCCGCACCCTCATCGAACAAGAGGTCGTTTCGATGGGGGAGGGAAGGGTAATGTATTTGATTAAAGATCATAAGAGTATGAGTTTTAAAAAAATAATGAAGTGCACAGATAAATCATTTATAATAAACACTGCAGTATTACATATAAAAAGAAGATTTGTCAAATTTTGATTTTGTTTGAATGTTCAAAAACTACTTTGTTATTACAATGTTGCTGCACCTCTTTTCCCAGTCTGTCAGTAATGCACTGTTTAGTTCCTGTCTCTAAGAAGCCCCTCCTTCTGAAAAGCACAATGTGCTCTGATTGGTTGACTGGGTGTTGTTATTAGTCAACCGCTTCAAGCATTTTTCAGAAACACTGCGACTTTCAACACACTACAAACGCAACTTTTCCGTATGCATTAGCTTGAGTAATAGTGTTACGTGTACCTTCCCGGAAGAAAACTCAAGTGTTTCAGGGAGTTCAGATATAGATAATGACTCTCTTGAGTCGGACTTTGTAACTTTGCAGACCTATTTCGTGCTCAAACAGCAACATTACACACTAAAGAAAGTTGAAAATGTAACAAACATAATAGACCCTCAAAACATGATAAGATATTCAAATGAATTGATTCATTTGGAAAGAACAGTGTTGTAGTCGAGACCACCTCACTCGAGTCCGAGTCGAGACCGAGACCAGAGAGAGTCGAGTCCGAGTCAAGACCGAGTCCATAGAGAGTCGAGTCCAAGTCGAGTCCAAGACCAGAGATGGTCGAGTCCGAGTCGAGACCGAGACCAGTGAGGGTTGATTACCTAATTTACTTTTATTTACTTAGAGAAATCCTTTTTTATTTTACTGAATTTACTTAGAGTTTAAAAAATATGACCAGTTTAGGGTAAAAAGGCCACATAGTAGGTGGTGTTAAAAGTAATTTGTCATGCGCAGTTGTGCACTAGAAAATCACCAATCACTGGGCATGTCAATCAATTTAAAGAAATATTTTATTAACATACGAAGAGTTCAGATGCAAAAGCCTCTAAGTGCCATTTGAAATTCTCTTGTAAAATAATCATTTTTATCAAGCTTGTATATTTAAATTCAGTAATTTCACTTAAATGGCAATTCATAGGTAATCTTCATTGCCATTTAAGTGAAATTACTGAACTTAAATATACAAGCTTGATAAAAATTAACATTCTTGAAGAAAATTTCAAATGGCATTTAGAGGCTTTTGCATCTGAACTCTTCATACATTAATAATCATGAAAAATATTTTGAATTGAACTCGAGTGGACTCGGGAATAAGTCCGAGTCCTAAAAAAAATTTTTTTCGAGTACGAGTCAATTCCGAGTCCAAATGCACACGAGTCCATGACAAGACCAAGACCATTAAAATATGGTCTCGAGACGAGTCCGAGTCTCGAGTGCTACAACACTGGGAAAGAATAAACAGATTCCCTAAAATGAATCAGAATCAGAACATTTAAGGATTGTACATTTGATTATTGCCGAAAACTGTTATTAAGTTAGCAACATTGCTACTCTTAGCTAGTTACTCCCTGTTTTAAGATTTCACAGCAACTATGCGTGTATGCATGTATAGGCATGTGTTTATGGGGAGGTGGCTGCTCCCTGACATGGTTGCCTTGTGAAAGTGACCCCAGGCAAAGCTTTTCTCCCCGTGGAAAACACGAGTCCTTTAGAGACCCAGATACTAGGCAAACACCCCACACTGTTTCTGTATTCCCATAACTCTCACTCAAAGACAACTTCCAAAGGCAGTAGATGAAGACCAAGCTAAAAGGAATGTCTTTACATTAACCGCAGGTGATCTTGGAAATGAATCCGAGCGTATTGAAATGATACTCAGTATTTCTCTCACTATATGCTCTCTTTGCACAGACGCATACATTTCACGGCTGCAGAGATTTCCGAGTGTGCGTCTCTCTCTTCTCCTCTGCCTGCTGAGATACACAACTGAACCCCAATGGAAAAGAGTGGTGAGATAGTGGAGCGGTGTCAGTGTGTGTGCGCGTGTGTGTGTGCCACGCAACCAGGGTGACGGCCGCTTGTTTACCGGCCTCATTATGTCAGCTCGCTTCCTCAGAGGCTGTGGCAGGTCACGCCAAGGCCTTCTGTCCACCTACACACACACACACACACACTCACGCACGCACACAATAATGTATTGCAGCAATGGGGTGAAGGACAATGCAAACAATTATTTGGGATTGGACATCTCAGACAGACCACTGAAGTGGCCAATACCATTGAGCCTTCATTAAAATATGTTCATAATCTTCGTCTGTTATGCACTCACACCAGACAATCTTGTTAGGATTTTTTACTAAACTGCGAATCGCTAAAGTTTAAGTCGTCTTCTACGTCCATGACATAGTTGAAAATGCTCTTTGTACATTTGCATGTATAGCCAAATGCTATTTCCCCTTTCGTTCCAATTATAGAGAGATGCGCTCGTATTACCTGTCAGGACAGTTGGGGCAGCACCAATAATTGGGCAAGTACTGAACTTCCAAAAGTTGTCGGACTTGCAAAAAAGCACACTACTATTATTAAGTAGCTTAAAGTTAGCACATCAGTTGATTAAGGGATATTTTTTTTCCATGGACAATTCTATGTATAATTCAAATGCATAATTCACTGGAGTTGTTGTTGCGCATAGATCATATGCGGGAAAGATGTATGCGGGCGCATGTATGTTACCTGCGTGTGTTCTCCATCTCTGCAGTCCTCACATCCATAATCCCTTTTATTGAAATCCGTGTCACCTGCTGCCTGCGTCGTCCAGCACCCTGAAGCGCCAGCCGGCTGGCACTGCGATGGGCTCTGTGTGTGTGTGAGAGAGAGAGAGAGCGATAGAGAGGAGATTATCAAGTCTAGCTTACTTTGATTGCATTCAATATGCAGAAGACATTCACAGAGAAACAAATTAATCACACATTTCTCCTAGTACATTTTACAGGATCATTAACAATCAGATTCCATTATAAAAATGCATTAGAACAATTAGATCATCACTGCTGGATAAACAAGCTAAGCTGGTTTAGCTGGTGACCTTATTGCTTATAATAGTTACCAGTGTAATACATGTTTTGGGCCTTTTCTTGCTGGTTTTGGCTGGTCAACCTCACAGGTGGGGTGAGTGTAATGCCAGAGAAAGCTATATATATACACACTGTAGTGTAGATACATGTTGGTAATCATAATTGATGCCTAGGAATAATGCTGCCTGTAAATGAGGGTCTTGGATCAATTTCCTCACCCCACATCGTAATTACTAGAGGGAAAGAAAAACTGGCGGCTGTGGACAACTTTATAATATGCTGAGTGCAATTATTAAATTATACTGTATGTGAAATTAGGGTTCATGCTAGATTAAAAGATTGACACAGATCCTGTTGAAGGTTGGTGCCACGGTTGCGAATTTAAGAATTGCCCTCCTTTCAGTTCATGAGGATGAACTTGAATTTAATTGGCCAAAAACCACAGGACTCACAAATCAAAGAAATTCAACACAGGTAATGCATTCTGCTTTCTATAAGTGACATTTCTGAATAGACAGATCTGCTGTAAAGCCTTTTGCTCCAACATGTTGTTCAATTCAATTATTTCTATTTAGAAGAAAACTTCACAACCAGTTGATTGCAGTCAGAATTACCTTTTATTTCTTGTAAGAATTCCCCCAAAACTTTGTTTTGGCTGTTGACATTTTAGTCTCATGCTGCACGATCAAACAGTCCGTCTGATTCAAACAAACAGGTTTAGCATTAGCATAGCCCTAATTGGACTGATCCATTTGTAGTTTTGTATGGGGGAGGGGAATAGCAGCTAAATATATATATATATTTTTTTGTTATGTTTTCTTGTGTGTGTGGTTAAGAACCCATAGGTTTACGCAATGTTATTTGTGAATGTTGTTTCATTATTTTTATTTGTGTGTATAATGTATTGTATGTTTGGTAACTGCTTGTTCATTTGGTACAGGCCAAGGGTGGAGTTAGCGAGCCCGATCTCATAAAAGTCATTTCTCGTGCCATGCCATTTATACGTCATAACTAGTTTTCGCGTGCATATGATAAGCACTTTTTGGCGTATAATAAGCACGAACTCCCCCCCTTCCCCCTAAACCTACCCAGGGGGTTTTCAGTGCACGCAAAAAAACATTTTTGGCTTATAAATGCCACGAGAAATGACAATCGTGGTATAGATACGCACTTTCATGAGACTGCGTTGAGTTATTAGCCCATATAAATAGGAAGCTATAGAGCTTATCAGGTCAGCCTTGGTTTGTGAAGGCCAAAGGAAATACCCTGTTGCAAATTGGACCAAAATGTGTAGCCGTTTATGCACGTTGTTGCAGTTTTGTTTTATTCAGTTTTTTTGTATTCCAGTATATGACCATGTACATATTTTTTTTCATTTTCATCATAATAAACCACATTTTGAGGATGCACTGAACCTCTTTCCAGCTTATTTAAAATGATCCTCTAAGACCACTGGGGCCATCCTTTACAGGGCCCATCTTGAATTTTAAGATAGTTCAAACTGGTCTAACACTTCTTCGTATCTGTACATAAATGTATTATTGATATAGATCTATACTTTGTTTGGTATCACACCACTTAACTATCAGAGATTATTTTTGTGTTATTCTACAATTAAACAGCAGAATAAGAACCTATAACTGGATTCTGTCTGGTTCTGGTTTCCATCCTCAGGGTAGATGGGCGTCAGTGGGCGGCCATTTTGTGATGTGAGCTGAGGAGAAGAGCATGTCCTGTGCTCCCTCATGGATCAGCTCAGATGTTTTCACTCCCTCTGCTATGCACCTGGGAGTGAGGGCCATGCGTATCTGTCGAGAAAGCGAAAGAGAGAGCGAGGAGGGGCGTGGGGTAAGGGGAGAGATAGATATATCCCCGTTCAAGCCTGTGACACATTAATTATTAACAAACTCCGAGTAAATGCGTAAACTCTCCCTCTCCTGTCCTCTCATCCCTCTCTCCTCCTCTGCTCGCCGTCTTGTCTTCAGTCATCCAGTTTCTTCAGCGCTCTGTTTCCAACAAACACCTTTCCCTCTTTTTCTCTTTCTCTCCTGCATACAGTCACCCTCTCTAAACCTGTTTTTTCAGTGAGTTTTCCCTCGTTTTTTTTTTCTTCTTTTAGTGAAGTGTAGTGTGCTGCTCGTAAAACAAAGTGGAGCATGTCGATTGGTGGGGGGTGTAGAGGACGTGGGAGGGAGGGGGGGGGGGTGATAGCGGTGTCAGGCACAAGGCCCCAGGAGAAAGATGGAAACTCAGAGAAAAAGAGAGAGAAACGGATGGCAGGAGATGGGCTCTGTGACTAGCTTCAGGTGTTGAGCTTAGAACAGGAAGCTGAGGCTCACAGGACAATTCAACACAAAACTGCTTCGCAACACTTTTTTACTTCCATATTGTGACAGAGTGAAACAGAACAATCAGTGAGAGTGCTGGATATCATTTTATCCATTGCTAATTACTAGAATGGATTTATTTGGTTGGAGGGGATGGTTTTATATATATATATTTTAAAAAGACATTGGTGTGGTCAGCCAAAATTAAACATTATTTGCAAAAAACATTAAAGTCCCTGTAAAGTCAATTCTACAAAAAAGTTCTAAACACATTATAAATGTTACATATACAGTTTTTCACCATTGCAATTTTACGGATTAATTGGGCGGGGCTAAAACAGGGCTCCGTGACGCACTGGAACCCATGAGCTGCCGGACACCCCCCTATTTGATGACGCACAGAGTCTGATCGACGATCTCCCGCCTCAGCTTTCATCCTCCCGTCTCCAAAAGCTAATCAGCTAATATCACCGTCAACAGCTTTCCCGTGAGTGGGCGTGGTTTCAGCACAGCCAGCGGACACGCCCCCAGCGTTTGAGAGCAGAGAATCTGCTCATTTTTTCATGATTTTGATTGCTTATTTTATGTACTTCCCGACTTTTTTTATCATTCAAATTTGGCTGGGTGGCTAATTACACATTTTTCTGTGGTGTGACAAACTCAGAACACATACTTCATTTTGACTTTACAGGGACTTTAAGGGAATGGCAGCTTTTCACTGAGGCCCTCAAAACCCAAAAATAATTTTTCAATATGTTGGGCCTTGATTTTGTCTGTCAGGAAGATTTTAGATTGTTGTTGTATGCAGGTTTGTTAATAAGTTGCATTAGGGACCACTTTTTCAGCAGCATTGGTTCTGAACGTTTTTTTTTTTTTCCTATTAATGGGTTAGTTAGTTCACCCAAAAATTCTGTCAGTAATTACTCACCCTCATGTTGAGCGGTCTCACTCCTCCATAGACTTCTACTGTAATTGAAAACCTGCCGGCCCAGAAACTTAGTAAAAACATTACTGAAATAGTCGAAGTGCTTTAAGTTGACAAATATTTTTTGTGTGGAAAAAAAAAAATTAACAGTAAAGATCTGGCAACCACAGCTGCCGTTTTTTTACCGTGAAAATTACGTTTTTATTTTTAACATTACTGCGTCAGAATGTAGGCTCACTATTGGCCAGCATCACACTCATGACCAGCGTCAGGCCAGTAGTGAGCCTACAACCATAGACTGTAAAAAAATATGGACGAAGTATCCGTGACGTCACCCATAGGTTTCTGAAGAGCGTTTTTTAACCCTAATGTGGGCGGGGCCAGCCGTCGCCATCTTGGCACTTCTGGTCACTTCCAGATAAAATAAAATGGGCAAAGGGATAAGTTTAATTATATCAAGTGCAGCGAGAAAAGGCTATAAATCTCCACCTCCAGCATCCTCACACACAATATAGCTACTAGCCGAGACTCTTCTTAATTTGTACAGACGTGACGTAATGACGCAAAGACATGTTTGAATCTCCTGCTGAAATCCACCAGTACCACTGAAATTAAAAACATTATTGCAAGCTTACCGCTTTGAATCGAGCTACGGCAAGCAGAGAGTTTTGAACACTGACTGGTTATGTATTTTCTCAAAAATGTATTATGGATCATTTTAACCCCAAAAAAAGCTACAGACTGCAGCTTTAAAAAGTAACATTCCACTCATTTTCTAAACCGAAAAGCCAACACACACATACACTCACGCAGACTTCAGCCTCGATTATCTTCTACCATGCTTCAACCTCTCCCTACTTTGCTTTACTATCATGAATGTAGTCTCCATGGACACGATCTCCATGGGCATGGTCTCTACGGACAAAAATCTCAAACACTACTTTGTGTATGTAGGATTGTGAATTTTCAGGTGTGTGTGTGTAAAGTGCTATCTCCAGACTAACAATGTAGCTTTCATCAACGCGCCCTTGAGTGGGCCACTTTCACACGAGCAGGCTTTTACAGGACACAGACTCCCGGCAGATGGAAAAACCCGATGCCGGGACAGGAAGTCCATAAGCTGCAGTGGTGAGGTCATCCCTTCACTCCCGGACTGGGACGACGGCTAGAGACAGATCAGCGACCACAGAGTTGAAGGACACAGGCACACCCTTCAGATGTAAATGTGTGTGTGAGAGAAAAAAAAAAACAAGCTTCGGCGGTCTTCATGCCATCACCTGGACAGCACGGATGGAAAGCAAGCACAAACCATTTGTTTTTCATTTGCGCGAAAACTATTTTTGCTCTCCGACACACACCCACTCAGAAACACGCACACACACGCCGTTGACACACATCGAGAGGACAGCTGCACTGAGCGTGGAACAGAGGACAGTGTCTCTGGCCCTTCGGTCTACCTCACCATGGCAACACTTCCTCCTGCGCAGACGTTGCAGTTGGACCACATACACACCAACTAACGTAGTTTAAAGCCACTTAACTGGCCTATTTTCAGAACCTTTGCGACATAAAACTAATGTCATAATCTCAGCGATTGTATAACCCTCTAAAGGAGAGCTTAAGAGCTTGTTTATTACCTTGTGAAATTCTTATTCATATACCACCACATCAATTCAAGTACCACTTTCATGTTTTTGTCACAATGACTTGCATTCAAAAATAACCAACACAGAATGAGACAAAGCACAGAGGTCAGAGTTCACTACTTTTAACGTCACGCAGAATTTTATAAATATGGTGCTGCTGAAAATGCAGTGATATGCAATGCAATGGCCAAACTATCAGCGGATGCACCAAAAACGCTACCTGTTTGAATGTATACTTCCAGATAAACTTAATAGCAAAATGGATTGCTTTGGACTTTCAGCATATACTGATATGCTATTCATTGTATTATTTAATCTGCACTTTACCAGTGTAATCCTGAGTGAGTGTGACTTTCACATTTTCACACACCTGCATGTTTATTTTATAAATTGATTCTGCGTGTGCAGACACCAGGGAGCAGTGTGTGCGAGTTTCACACATATTAGAGAGAGAGAGAGAGAGAGAGAGAGAGAGAGAGAGAGAGAGGCTGGAGTGTGGAAGTGGGTCATCTGTAACAGAACAAGTTTCTCACATGAGTCCAGCCTTCATATCCTCTCTTCACCTCCAGATGTTTCTCCTCTGTCTTTCGGTTTCTGTCCCCTTACCTTTGGTACTTGTAGTTCCTGAATGAAATTCAAACATTTGGTGACTCCATTAGCAACAATTAACATTACAATATTTTGAACACAGAAATCATTCAAAAGTGGTGTGGTTAGAGGAACTGACCATTGTGATAGTTGTGATAGCAGAAGTCACTTTTAAACCAAGAAACCTTATGTTGATCAACGTGGTGAATTTGATAGACCAACTTGAACCCAATGCGAAATTTGTGTGGGGAAATATTTCAGCCTCATGCGAAATTCCAAATTTTGGAATGTTTAAATGTTTAACCCTTATGCTGCATTAGGGACATTTTTGGTCTTTTGCAGTTTAATTTCTTTGACCATTTGACCATGTTTT